CAAAACAACTAAACAAATCTAATTTAAAAATAAAGATTTTTAAAGAGAAAAAAGACATTTTGGATCTCCTGTCCTGTGTCCAGCCTGTGACAAACTCCTTCAACTCACCATGAGTGGTAGCCGGCATTGTTTTCATCCTCAAAAGAGGAGATATGGGGCAGAACTGTTTGCCTGATCACAGCCCTGGGTGTGGAGAGTAAAGAAATGCTGACTCCTTCATTGCCAAATCGTAGCACTTGTTTAATTAGGTACTACATAAAGTGAATTATTCTTCCAACCTACTTTGTATCTATTACTTGAATTATTTCTTTAGAGATTCCCAATTCCTGAATCAAGACATACTCATCTGAGTGTTCTTAAAATTCCTAACCAAATGCACACACCCAAACTGTGCCTTCTGCTTCCAACTCTTTCTGCTTCATTCAGAGGAGGGGTCCCTTGATGGCTCTTTCTAACTTCAAACCTGTCCTTTCTTCCCCACATCTAGAATCTGGATTCTAGCCGCTCACTTCAGAGCCCTAGATTTCTGTTGTTTATACTGCCCGGTATGTGGTTGGCTACACTGCCCTAGGAAACTAACACAATCCTTTATTAGATTAGATCTGTTAGTTAACTTTATTGTATTTTTAAACTCACTATTCACAAATGCAGTACATGCATTAGTTTTCATGTATCAAGTATTTACAGGATGAAAATGAAAAGACAGGAGTTGTTGTTTCCATAACAACCAAACTGGAGCACGTTTCCTCCATTAATCTGGATGGCAAATTCCAATGAACCTCCGTAGGCAGTTTTTGTTTTTTTTTTTAATTTTTACGTTAATTTTTATTTAAACTAAAAACAATCTTATTTTACATACCAATTCCAATTCTCTCTCCCTTCCATCTTCCCACCCTGCAAGCCACTCCAACTGATACTCATGTTCAGTTCCACTGCCAGCGGCTCCATAGACTGCCCAAGCCCCCCATCTGACACTCACATTCAGGAGGCCTAGTTCGGTCTTATGCAGGTTCCCCAGCTGTCAGTGTGGAGTCCGTGAGCTCCCACTTGCTCAGGTCAGCTGTTTCTCTGGGTTTCCCCAACATGGTCTTGACCCCTTTGTTCATCACTCCTCCCTCTCTACAACTGGATTCCAGGCATTCAGCTCAGTACTTAGCTGGGAATCTCTGCTTCTGCTTCCATCAGCTACTGGATGAAGGCTCTAGGGTGGCATTTAAAACAAGTCATGTATCATGTTGGATGTATTACTGGTTAGGTATTTCTTCAGCTAGATATTGTACCTCATCACTCGACCTAAGGCCAAGGCATGGACACAGTTCAATCAAGCTCTTTCCATAGGCAGTTTAATTAAAATGACAAAACTCGATTCTCAATATTCCTTCTTGATTTTTGTGGAGTTTTGTTTCTATTTCAGTGTCATGGTGTGTGCACATCTACTGTCTAAATCTCTCCAGGTCTAATCCTGAAGGGTGATTGCTAAGCACACATGTGCAGTACATCTGTCTCCTTAAGTGGAGGTAAAGCCAGCATCAACTTCATCCCTATTCAATGTAGAGAGAATGTTGGTATTCTCAAACCCCATTATGTTCCCTCAGGAGCATGCTCCTAGCAGTTCAAGGCTCTGTGCTTGCTCACACAGGAGTTGTGTTTGTCTCCTGGAAACAGTACTGGCAGAGGGCTAATTCTCACTGAATCTGTTGAGTGGATGAATCTATAAATAGCTTTACATGAGTGTCAACTTCTCACAGGCAGCGATAAAATTAAACTACATTTTAGAAGCATTTACCAGCCTCTCACCCTCTCCTCTTACATTTTGGTCTGAAAGCTTTTGTTTCCTTGGATCTACCAATTTTCAAGAGCTATCTCTGAGAAATATAAATAGGGGGTCAGGTGTGGGTTGCACATGGGTTTGGGTGCATCATCGAAAGTTGTTAATTGTCTACTCTTCCGAAGCACCTTGCCCTGATAATTTAATGTGTCTAGTTTGTCTTGAGAAGACATGCTTGTATTTAAGACTTTCTAATGAGCACTTTGGTGACCTGTGTCTTGGTGAAGGAGTAAGGGCTCTAAAGAAGGAATTCTGGTAACAGATGGCGGGTAGATTGGAGAAACGATGTAATCTCTGCAGTACTTTGAAAAGGGTACTATTGCTTTGATTTTCTGAAGAGTTACAGTTTGACATTGAGGGAGCAAGCTTGTTTTTTTTTTTTTTTTTTTTTTTTTTTTTTTTCATTCCATACCCAGTGCCACAGCAGCTGGTAGGAGATGCCCTGGTCTTCAAACTGCAGAGCTCCAAAACAGGAATTCTCACTAGAGAATTTATTAATTCCAAGGTTTGGTGAGAGTCCAGATATTACCCCAGGTGAGGACAGAAGGAGGATGGATAAGAACTCTTAGGAGGTTCATTTCAGTGAGAGAAACAGGAGGAAAAACATCAACACGCTGTACTAAGTCCTGTTAATCATTAAAGGAAAGAGTGGCGCTCTATGTCACATTTTCAGTGTGGCCTATGACATGGTTGTTCTTTGGACACTGGCCATCCAGGCATGATATTTTTTTTCTCTACTAATTAAAACATTCAATTCTCTGCCCATACCCAAGTAACAGTTTAAAACACTGTATGATACTATCAATTAAAAAATTCTCTATCTCCACCACAGGGGAAGGTGTGCAATTGTTCTTTTCTACAGTTAATGGATAATTTATTTTATCTCATTTTGCACTTTATGACCCTTTCAATTTTCAGGAATTTAGAAGTGCCCCCGTGGTTCTGGAATGGAGAAACGGTTTATTTCGATGTGGCACTGTTTTTTTTTTTTTTTTCTTCACATAGCTAGTGACAACATTTTACTAAGTTCAGAAGAGAAAGCAAGAACAGTGATAGAATCACGTGAGTTGGGCTGGGAAAGGGGATGTTACCAGGGGTGGGTGCTCATTACCAGCTAAGAGCAATTATAGTGTAAAAAAGACTCACGCTGTACAGGTTCGTTCTACGCCAGACATCAACTCTTAATGCAAAAATAAGCGTGTCTTTTACTTGATCATAAACTAACTTTTACAAATTCTGTTATGTGCACATCCTTTGTAGTGTATGCCACCAGAAATTCTCCCAAGGACTTTGATGATACCAAAAGGTTTCCACCCCCAGGCCTGCAGGTGCTCAGGAATGCGGCTCACACTGTGGTCTCATTCTCTTACACAACACAGTGACAGTGGAGTGTAAGACTGCTCTGCGTACAGCAGTTGGCCAGAATTCTTTTGATTCACTCCCTGGGGATATCTGCCGCGAAGTTCTCTTTCAAGCAGGCAGCCCTTTCTCCCCGTGACCCTTTCTGGTTGGACTTGGAACGAGTTCATTCTGTAAGCTGCATCCCACAACCAAACACATCAGGGGCTAGACAAGACTTGGCCCTCCCTCTTGCAGTCTTGCAGCCTCAGAAATGGCCTTTTTTTTTTTTTCCACTTGGAAATGAGTTTAAAGCAAAACTTTCCCTAGCTGTCTGGTGGCTGGAAGTGTTGTCTGCCGCTGGTGGGTGGCCCGAGCATCGAAGGACCCTGCCATTGCCTCAGCCTGTGCGGGTGGGAAAGGGGGCGGAGAGGAGAGAGACAAGGAAGGGGCGGAGGTCACTGAGCCCTCCACCGCGCGGAGGCTGTGAGAGGCTAGGTGCCTTGGAGTTCAGGGTGCATTTGGGCCAGCAGGTCCTGCGGGTGATCCCGGGCTGGCGCAGAGCGGACATAGGAAGTGCTGAGCGGTGAAACCTGAGGTTGCAGCTGCGCCGGGCTGGATGCGCCATGGCAAGCGAGGCGCAGAGATCTGCTCCGGACACAGCCACTGGATGGCTCAGGATGCCAAGGTAACCGGTGACTGCATTCCCATGGCCGATTCCCATGGCGCCTGGATTCCTCAGCCGAATCCAGGGTTGATAAACTGCGGAGACAGCCATAAGGGCCCTATTGGAGAGCACGTTAGGTTGCGCTTGGCAGTTACTTTGGACCCAATTCGTGGTGCGCTGTAGAGAAAGAAGGGTGTTTGGGCTGGGCTGTATGGATAGGGGACTGCAGCAAGCATCCCCCTTCAATCCTCACTAGAGAAGCAGGCAAACCCGGCTACCTCCTTTTCTCCTCGAGATCCCCTGCTTACCCAGTCTGCCACAGACCTCTGGCGCCCTCCAGGGAGGGAGGGGAAAGAACTCGCTGGAGTTTGAGGAATTGCAAAAAGTTTCAGCAAGTTGGTTAGGTTTCCAGGCGATGTTGCAAGCCGAGGCCCCGTGGGGTGCGGGGTTTGCAACTGGCGAAAGTCAAACTGTGAGTAAGACACAGAGCGGGCAGCCAGCCTCTCCCTGGGGCGCTTAAAGCCACTGTGCTGCCGAATCCCCGGCCTCCCGGAAAGCTTCTCTGGGAAACCGATCTAATTAGCTAAGGGTGGGGTGGCTGTGGTCCTGTAGCTCGCGGGGTGCTTGAGAAAAGACAATTCAGTGCTCACTGGAGGCTGCAGTAACCCGACAGCATCTTTCAGCCCCGAGTGTTGATGGGACGCTGCTTTCCCCCTTGCCCATCCATCTAGGGCAGCGATTTCTACCCTGGTAAAAGGAGGGCAGAAAAAAGCTCTGAGATCAGAACCCAGAGCAATGACACCGTCTTCCAGGAGTCAAAGTGTGAGTGTGTGAGTGTGAGTGTGAGTGTGCGTGAGTGTGCGTGTCAGTGTGCGTGAGTGTGTGTGCGTGAGTGTGGGTGGGTGTGTGTGTGTGAGAGAGAGAGAGAGAGAGAGAGAGAGAGAGAGAGAGAGAGGTATGCTGCTTTCAGAAGGCTGCCACCTGACTTAGGATAGGCTGGGTAAATCCACCCCATCCCAAGGAGCTGGACGCTTGGTTTTAAATGTCCGAGGACTGGCAATTTGGTCTTTATAATTTCTGTCCTGTATGCTACAGATGCCTGCACTTCGGGACTGTACAGTGGTGACAGAGAGATGACCTGAGGGGACAGCTTCTATCTTCACAACAATGTCCATGAACAGTTCCAAACAGCCAGTGTTCCCTGAAGCTGGACTCCTCGCAAACACCACCTGCCAGATGCAAAATCGACTTTCAGTGTTTTTCTCAATAATCTTCATGACAGTGGGAATCTTATCTAACAGCCTGGCCATTGCCATTCTCATGAAGGCATATCAGAGATTCAGACAGAAGTCCAAGGCCTCCTTTCTGCTCCTGGCTAGTGGCCTGGTGATCACAGACTTCTTTGGCCATCTCATCAACGGAGGGATAGCTGTCTTTGTATATGCTTCTGATAAAGACTGGATCCGCTTTGACCAATCGAACATCCTCTGCAGTGTTTTTGGAATCTCCATGGTGTTTTCCGGTTTGTGCCCACTTTTGCTAGGCAGTGCGATGGCCATTGAGCGGTGTATTGGAGTCACCAATCCTATATTCCATTCCACGAAAATTACATCTAAGCATGTGAAAATGGTACTGGGTGGTGTGTGTGTGTTGGCTGTTTTCGTGGCTTTGTTGCCTATCCTTGGACACCGAGACTATCAAATCCAAGCATCCAGGACCTGGTGTTTCTACAACACACAGAACATTGAAGACTGGGAAGACAGGTTTTATCTCTTGTTCTTTTCATTTCTGGGCCTCTTAGCTCTTGGTGTTTCGTTCCTGTGCAATGCCATCACAGGAGTGACACTCCTAAGGGTGAAGTTTAAAAGCCAGCAGCATAGACAAGGCAGATCCTATCACTTTGAGATGGTCATTCAACTCCTGGCCATAATGTGTGTCTCCTGTGTCTGCTGGAGTCCCTTTCTGGTAAGATCCTAAAGTATGGACAGTCTGCTTTCTCAGGTTTATCTATGTTCTGTGCAAGCTCTGTTGTCTTTATTAGAGCTGCTGGTCTAGAATGTCAATCTTCTAGATGCTAAAATTGACTTCCGTGCTCATCTCTGGACCACATGTTTACTTTTCCATAGGCCCCAAATAAAATGTGTTTCAGATAGGTCTTTCTTGCTTCCACATGGGACAGTGTGAAGTAATACAAGTAGTAGTTTCAGTGTACTGGGTGTGATTATCTACTAAAGCATTGATAGAATGAGTGGCTATGATAGACCGCTGTGTCAGAATCAGGTGGGTTTTGATACAAAGTGACACAGATTTTAATCTGTAGACAATAGAGCAGCTGCAAGGTTACTTTTAACATGTAAAGATGAACTCACGGCTTGCCAGCTGTGAGGACTGAGCTGAGATAACTGACAGGTCAGCCAGCCCTGTAGATAATGAAGAGAAGACATCACTAAGTTCACTAAGGTCAGTGATGCTGATGCTGACTGTGTGGGAGGGTGACTGACAGGAAGGTTAGAATTCAACCTTTTACTTTCATTTCTTCCAATGCTCTGTAGTCAGCAGGGGCATGTGACATGTGACAGCTTGGCACTTTAATCTGGAAGTAAAGAAATTCATAAAGCATTCATACTCTTTTCCAGATAGAAGTCAGAAAAACTATAAGCTCATTTACAAATTCACTTTATGATAATATGCAAGTAAAGAGGAAAACCAAGCTTCTGCAAGAGGAAGGGAGAGTGTCAGGTGGTGGGGAAGTGGGCTGGCATCCAGAGATGAGTATCCAGGTTGGACCAAAGTCGAAACCTGACAGGAGGAGAAGCAAGGTGGAGGTAAGGCAATGCTGGCTATGACAATCAGTAAGGCTGTTAGCTGAAGGTCTGATAGTGATGTACTTTTCTACATCCCAGGTATACCAGTTGTCAGAGAATGCATGGCTCTGATACACAGCGTAGATGATCGTCATGCACATAAAAGGTTGTGAGCATGGCTTATGCTCAGTAGTCAAGGAAAGAGATGGTTTTGTTTCATAAAAGACTTCTTTTATAAGTGCTCACTTGGTTTCATTGTATTGCTTTGCAATTTCAATTTAGTGCCTTAAATTGTTGAATCATTTATGATTCTAATCATGTTTTCCCTGGGCTAGCCAGGTAGACAGGTCTACGTAAGAGTACTGAGATTATTCATGAAAATTCAGCTTCCGGAAGACTGTGCGCTGTCAGTTTATGGGACCTGCAGTTAATTAAGGCTGGAGTCTGATTTGTCCTTAGTAGTAGCATGCTCTAATTGAAGGACAAAAACCAACCAACCAACCAACCAAACAACAAACAGATAAAACATTTTGAATTACATCAGTGTTCATTTTGAGTGGTTTAATAAGTTTATGATACTTGGCACAAGGAATTTCTTAAGTTTTTAAACTAATGTGGTTTTTCAAAATACAGAATGAGGCCGAGTGAATTGTACTTAATTTGGTGATTGTGGAGGTAAATGAAAAACATGGGAAGGAATGTTACGGAGGCTTTTGAGTGTGAAGGGAGAAGGTCATGGATCAGAAGGACCCTGCAACAAGAGCATTGAAGGAGGGACAATGATTCAGACAGGCCAGGCAGTCTTGAGATTGGGCTGATTGCTTCCTAACCATCATGAAGGTTCTCTCCACTCTGGCTTTGGCCTTTGAGGAGAGGGGGTGAAAGATTAGCTCACGTGAGACCGTGGAAGAAGTGGACTCCCAGAATCTTGCACCGATATGTTGCATTTACATTTTCTCCTTTTTGCTGAGAAATTTTGGGTTCTTTTATTGATTGGACAGATACCCGGCTTTAATTTATATTTTAAATGATTTTCAATTGGTTTCATTTCACGAGACTGTTTTCTGTTCCTCCTCGACCTCCCTCTGCTTTGATTAGCATGCAGAGTAAGGTTCCCTGCGGTGCTGTCTTCACTTGCCCTTTAGGCATTATTGATGTGCTTCCGTGTTGTTCCTTCCCAGGTGCTGACTGTGGAAGTCCTTATGTGCAGAGTGCACAGGAGATGCACCACAGGCGCCTCTCCATTGGCTGGTTATGAGTTGTTTCAGCCTTTCTAAGGGTTTTGGCTGATATACGATGATGCCAAGCGTCTGCCAGTCACCCCATTCTGGCTGGTAACCCATGTGGTGTATTTCATTTCATGGAGGAGGAAAATGGAATTTGCTTTTCCCAGGAACTGAGATTTAGAAGTCAAGAGTAAATATTGCATTTATTTAAAATACAACTTCCTAGTAGCATCTAGGTCTTGCCATATCTGTATTTCATAATTGTAATTAAGATGAAGTCAGATAAATTCAATGAATTAACATTCCGACTGACAAATGTAAGAACTCAAGGTCCACATTTAGCATAGAGTTCCATGTGGAGACAGGCTCACACCAAACTCTTAGAGTCTAATGACAATTATAAAATGATCTCTTGAGCTTTCTAGGCAAATTACCCTTACCTGGAACTTGCTAGGCAGACCTGCTGTCCTTGAACTTAGGGTGATTCTCTCACACCATTCCCTGAACACTGGAATGACAAGCATGCCCCACAATGGCCAGCTCCAAGTAACAATTTCTTAATAATCTTTGTTTTGCCTTTGTATATGTATATGCAATGATTCTTTTTAACGCTCTCTATATAGAACGTATAACTTTAAAAGGAGTTTAATATCATTGCTATGCATATTTCCCCAATTTGGTACGGCAATAAATACTTGTTAACTGGTTGATTGAAACTTAAGTAGGATGAATTTCAAGAGATTGGAAATGATTGACCAGAATGGATTCTGATTTTTGTAGGTAGCAGTTAAGCAAGTCCTGAAACGAAGTGGTAAGCTTTAACGTCTTCCACGCCAGCACCTGTAGGTTTCTGAAATGTTGAAATTCAGCTATCTCTCAGTAAAAGGCCAGGTGCTTATTTTGCTGTCTGGTCAGAGGATACTTTTAAATGAAGGACACAAAGTATATGAGGAATGATATGATTTCCTACGTATGGAGTTTACCCAAGACGTGTTTTTGTTTAAGTAGAATTGAATTTTGATTTTTCTCAGGCTGTAACTGTCATACAAATGTTTCTAGTCACCTTTGCAGTTAAATACTTAGTCCCTAGGGTGGTTATCAGATGCATATTGATTGGGTGGTTAGTTTAACTTTGACTCGGATTGCTGAAGGTCCCGGTATTATACTGACCAGGTGTTGTAGCGTAGGTAGCCGATGACAGGCAAGAAGGATCTCTATCCTGCGGCTGTGCAGAAGGCTGGCTCCCATCACTTTTGAAGAACACAATGAATCTCCGTCCTTATTTTAGCACTGAAGGATGGTAGATGGATGCACATCTGTATGTGTTAAATGAAAAGAAAATGTAGAAAATCTATAACCATACATTCTGGTTTGGATCTTGGCCATCCATCTCTAATCTTAATCTCTTAACATTCTGTGTACATGACATTCCACCAATCTCTGTGTGTCTTAATCTGTGCATGTAACATGTGTTTGTGTATAGAAGTAGTATGTTTGTAATGTATGTTCTTTAAATTTTTTGCTTATTATTTTATAATTGCTGTTTATTTATTTGTGTGAGTGTGTGGGTGTGTGTATGATGTATAGGCCAGAAGAGGGCATCGGATTCTTTGGGGCTGGAGTTCCTCAGGTCCTCTGGAAGATAAGCAAATGCTTGTGAGTGCTGAGTCATCTCTCCAGTGGCACATGTATTTCCATACATGTGAAATACACATTTGTATATGTGCATGCATGTATTCAGAGAGATTACACATGGACTGTTACATTATTTACAAAATTAAAAATAATAACCAACGCACCTTTATGTCTGACCATGTAAAATAAGAGAGATTCCACTGAAATTAAGATCCAAGTGGACATCACGCTACCCAACCAACCATAAGGTTTATGCAGAAGACCAAGCTCAGATCCATACAGAGTTTGTGTTTCTCCAGAAGGTGGTAGGACCTTTCTATCGTATATGTATACATAAAAACAGCTTGAGATTGAGAGACACCATGTGACAGTGTTCAAGCAGAGGTTTTTTTTGGGGGGGGGAAGGATTGTAAAGAGGGAAAGGGGAGTGGGAAGACTGGCCTCTGGGACAGGAGAAGCAGTATACACACACACACACACACAGACAGACAGACACACATACACATACACACACACACAGACACATACACACATACACACACACACACAGACACATACACACATACACAGACACATGCACACATACACACACACACACACACAGACACACACACAGACACACACACACACACATACACACAGTGGGGAAGAGAGAGAGACAGATAGAGACAGACAGACAGAGAGAGAGGAACAGAAAGAAAGAAAGAGGAAGGTGGGAGGTGGGCGGGGCCCCTTAAAGGGGGTTGTAGTGAATGTGCACAGGTGGTGCTCCTCGTGGCAGCCACTAAGGGCGGATCCTGTCTGAACTCCAAAGCAGGACAGCACAGATGCTGGAATACTAACACTGTCTCTGACTCTGCTGCCTGCTCTTGGGACCCTTTCCCTTTTACTGGGTTGGCACATGCAGCTGTGATGTTTGTGCCTAACCTGATTGTATCTTGTTGAGACAGGTTCAGTGCACATCCCCAGGAGGTCTGCTCTTGTTTTCTGAAGGGAAACAGAGGAGTTGGTCTGCGGGAGGGTGGAGGTGGGGAGCGACTGGGTAGACAGACTAGAGTAGAAGGAGAGAAACCTTTGATCAGTTTGTAATGAGAGAGGAATAAAAGTTAAACAAACAAACAAACAAAAGAGCAGGGTGGATTCACGCTGTGCTAGTCCCTATCTTGGCAAAAGGTGTTTTCTTTCTTCTTCTGATTATCCTTGGGTTACTGCTGATTTCCATTGTCTCAGCAGTTTCCCTCCTAAATGGCGATGTGACTTTGGAATATGGGAGTCACAGTGCAGGTCCCTGGCAGGATGC